GTTAAATCCTCCCTTTTCACCCGTGCCCTTAACACCCTGCCTCTCAAACCTTTCATAAGAAAACACACCTCCCTCAGGTGAGCTCCCCCAGCGTACCTCGTCCCACGCAGCTCCAGCAGCGATCCCAGGTGACGGGTGACTGGGAGCAGGGTCCATCTGGGGAAGCAGAGCCATCACGAGATGGACGAGCACGATGCCCTCCCCACGCATGGGAGACCCGTGACATTTTCTCAGGTGGTGATATAGGAACTTAAAAGGAAGGAAACCAAGACCAACCACTGCGCTGGCTGCAGGCACCAGCCCCAAGATGCAAACTCATCCCCGGGACCAGCCCCTGCACACCCCAGCTGGGGTGTAAAGGGCTGTTCGGTTTGGGGCTAGAGCAGGGCAGATCTTGGAGAAGCTTTAAACCCCGATGAAAACGATGGTGAGCGTTAGAAGGGTCATGTTTCACTCTGGTGGGAGACCAGGGAGGGTCATTTCTCATCGCTCGTGTCCAAACGCCACAGCTGACGGGTGGGGATTGGGGACAGGGTGGGGATTAGCTCACACCAGGGCTATTTCAGAAGAACGATGCATTAAAAACTCATTCTGTTTTCTTTAATATATGTAATAATTAAAAGCATGGCTCTACACGCTGGATTTGATAAAATCCTCCCCTTCTGGCAAGCCTGCACTAGCCAAAACCAAGTTTAGAACGAGTGGCCAGTGACCCTGCAGCAGAAAGGACACTGGAAGGTTTTTGTTACACTCGCGGGGCGACGGGACACAGGGCCTGGGACTGTGTTTTGCTGGGAAGCATGACGACATCCAGGGAAGGAAGGGAACACTCTCAGCCTTCTGGCCTAAATTATCTGCTAACACAAATAATCAAATTCCAGGGACCACACTGCTCTGGCGCCACTGGAGCGAGGGGGAGGCCGGCCCCGGCGCGGCAGGAGCAGGTGGCAGCCTGACCCGCGCGGGATACTCCAGCGTGATACACAACACACTGATGCTCTCGAAGGAAGCCAGCATCGCTCCCTGTATCGTGGGAAGTTTTTAATGGCTCGTTCAAGGCAAGGCCTCTGAAATGTTTATATTAATACTTACATGCTGGATAGCCACTCATTTGGTCTCAGCTGGAAACCAGTCCAAACAGCTGAGAAACATCTGGCTGCTAACCTTGGACATCTAATCTGGTAGCCCAGGGATTTAAGAAGTCTCTTCGGAAGGACAGAAGTTTGGCGGATACCTCACCGAGATCTCTGCTACAGCTGTTTCTCAAGCCCTGCTTGCCGCTCCAGGATGACACATACCGCCGGTGTCCATCCTGATCCCATTCACACAGCGCCCGAGTCTCAACGATTGCAAAAAGCTGTAATTGGATATTACTCCTAACTCCCAGGAATACTCCTGAAAGTGTGCGACTGGGTGTGCTCCTCCTGCCCCAGGAGAGGGACAGCAGCTATCTGCCAGCCCACAAACCACCCATCTCCCCATCACCCTGCCCCAGCCCGCCTGTGCGCAGGATCAGTGCCTCTGCTCTATCTTCCCTCTGCCTGCACCGTTACCAGCAAATAAGCACATACCTGCCCCAGAAAGCCTCCACCATGAGACAAACACAAATCCTGCTCCCTGTAGATCTGAAGACCACTATCAGGGCAATGATGAACATGTGGTTTTAATGCAGCTCTATCAAAAGAGTGAGAGGAAGGGAAAACGGACTCATCATTTCTGATAAAGATGGTTCAAAACTTTGCCTCCCTTTTCTTTCCAAAACTCCTGCTTGGTTTGGTTTTTTTTTTTTTTAATTTATTTTTTTCCCCCAAAAGAATCTTCAGCTTTGGCTATCCTGAAACAATTCTTTGGTGAGTGGAGAGCTAATGCAATAAGACAACATAAAAGAACAGATGTTGAGCAATAGAAAGGGGGAAAGGACTTTCAGATCATTTGACATATCCTCCCTCCTATTACCCATGAAGGGACCACAGGGCTTTCTAGATACGTCAGGGTAAAGCCACCAACAACCTGGCTCCGGAGGCAGAAAATTAGGACAGGACCCACATTTCTGAAAACCCTTTGTAGGCTTTATTTAAAAGGAGATGAGGATGAAAAAGGTGACAAGATGCTTGACAGACATAAAATGATGAGAATCTAGCTTATCTCCTTATCTTCCACGTCTTCTGCTTTTTGCTTTTTCGTTACAACAAATGTGGGAGACGCTGGGGGACAATGTAAAGGCACAAGCACCAAGGACATAGCACCAAGAAGGGAGGACTGGGAAGAAGATGCTCAATAAAGGCTAAAAAAGTCTCTTTCCTAGCAGAGGTTGAGCCTGCTGGCTCTGGTCCAACAAAGCACTTAAGCCTGCGCCTAACTTAAACCTGACTTCACTGGGGCTCTTCACAGGCTTAAAAGTTAAGCCCATTCTCCAGCAATCACCTACAGCAAGACCAGAGAAAACAAGAAGCTGTTAAGGGACCTGAATCCTAGTCAACAGCAAGGTTAACATCTTTGGAAAGCATGCTAGCCAAAGGTTAATGCAACATGGCAATTTCCACTGACTTGGGAAAACTCTTAACCACCAGAAAAAGCTTCTTAAATATAAAATCATATGTAAAAAAATTAGATATTAGGAATATCGCCATCAAATTCTCTTCACTTTCTTTCAGCTCAAGGTAGGTAGCGCTTGAAGCAGACACATTTACAGGTACACACAGAACTGGAACTCTCTTGTTTCAGTGTATGCCGGTGCCAGCTTGAAAAAAAATACTGAATTCACTGTGCTGTTCCTTGATGTAGGAAACACTGTCCTGTAAGTAAAGCACCAACCTCAAATGCCTAATGGCCAGTTCCCACAAACAGCAAGGTAAGCCACAAACAGCTCCTACAACTCCAGCGAGACATTACAAAGGCTGCTCTTTGGCACAGGAGTACGAGCGCGTCCCGGCGCCTGTCTCTGTTGGGTTTGTTTCCCTCGTTAAAACTGGCATTAACACTGCTCCTCTACACCACACCTGCCTGGCAGTGCCACAGGGAGCTCCGGAATCAGGGCTCTGAAGTAGTGCTAAGATAAAGTGCGCGCAGCAGCCCATCCTTCGGCCAGGCTGTTTGCCCAAGCCTGATGGGCATGGCCACGCTCACCGGCTGCCTTCCCCGCTCTGCGTCCTTGTGTGACTCTCATGTGAACCACAGCCAGCACCGGCATCTCACGGAGCCGCTGATGGCACTTCCCGGCTTCAAACCTATTACTCTACTGATAGTAGAAGAAACCTAAATTTTAATCCAAAGCACTGCAAGAAGCTGAGTACAGAAAAGGCATATTTACACATATACTCCCTGCGTATACACACAGAGCTGAACTACAAGAAAGCAAGAAGCAAACAACAATTAGTCTTTATTAACAATTAAAATCTCACTGCAGTGCTGGTTTTCCCCCTAGCAAGTTAATGCCTGTACAGTGAGAAAGTCACGATAAATGGGCTTTTAAAATTGAAACAGATTCAGGATAAATATGAAAAGTGGTTCTCACAAGAAGACTTACCATTTAAACTGAGCATTTGCACCTTATTCAGACCCCAGCCTTGCAAAGCCTGTTAGCTCCCTCTACCGTCACCATGCTGTGAGATGAGTCCAGCACACAAACTGAGGGTTCGCAGAGCCCAGCTGAACGCTTTGCCCTTACACTGCCAGAGGTAGCACAGATCCGGGTAAGGCTCGGTTTCGCTTCCCCACTTCATTTCTGAAGCACAGACAAGCAACCAGGCTGTGGGATGCCCGGTCTCTTCCACTACAGTTTGCAGATCACGCGTACCGACAAAGCGACAATAAAGCTACAATGTGTAGATTCAATGGCACCTGACTCGTAGGGCGCTATTGTTCCATACTGCTCCTATTCGGTTGAAGCAGAACAGCAATACACACTGATATGTCCAAAGAGTGCAATCCCTGGCTGAGAGAATTTACAGTGAACCCTTTTTGTCCTAAAGCACCACCCAACTTCATATGGCAAACGTTGGTAACACACAGCTCTTGCCCGCACAGCTCCCTGCGGAGCACGGCCTGGGTAGGGTGGAATGCTCTAACCCGTACAACTCACAAAGCAAAACAGTGCCAAGGTTTTAAAACCGTTACTTGAAATAGGAAGGTTGAGGGAGGCTCCAAACATGCACCAACCATATCCAAGGGCACTCCTACAACAGCTCTGAAAAACAGAGATAATCGAGCAGCACGCTAGAATTATCAAGCATTGTTCTGATTCCCATTTAACATCTTCAGATAGCAAGCTGTTTTAAATAAACACACACACACGATGCTGACAAAGCACTAATCGCGTCGTCTTCACAGATAACCTCCGAGCTACCAAAGGACTGAGCAGTATTCCAAGCCAGAAGCCAGCAGCAGGTTTCACAAAGTTTCATAAAAGGTCATTCCCTTTTCCATTCCCAAACCAGGAAGAACCTTGTTTCACCACAACACTGAAGTGACCGCACGAGTACCTTTGGGCAATCCTCTGAAGTGGAGATGCTTTACACTCGGAAAAGGCCAAAATTTCAGAGCCCCATTTTTATCCAGCTTTGGAGAGAAGGTCAGCTTTTTACACTTCACTATTTGAGGGCAAACAGGTACAATCTCAGGTTGTGAAGTTCTCCTTGAACTTGACAGCCAGCGTAACACGTCACTGTACAGGGTTTGACTTCCTCAGGACCACAGCACAGAACGGTCACTGAATGACAGAGCACCTTCAGACAGCACATGTATCGTCTATCTAGAAATTCATTTCAGCAGTTCCTTAGCATCACATAACATTACCAACGGCCACATCTATGTGAGTCTGAGGCTTGAACTAAAACTAAAGATTCTCCTTGGCACAGCAGCAGCAGCTGGATAAAGACAATTGCCTTTTGCCACCAGTTTACATACTGTTAGCTAAATGTGATCTGTAGGAAGATACTTCCAACAAATCAAGAATTCCATAAGGGGTCAAAATTCTAAACATAAATACAATTAAAGCCTTCTAATATTAATGCACACTTTTTATTATATTAAAATCAGGCAATGGTCTGATACAATAAAAAGGCTGCTTATGGAATACTGTTATGTTAAACTTTAATTACAGAGGATGTTAAATCCTTACAACTAATATTTTCCTCAGAAGAGTTAATGGAAACATCAATTGTTCATTGACTTGATAGCTGCTGCTTTAAAATGTGTTTAGTTTTCCTTTTTTTCTCCTTTTTTTTCTTTTTTTACACAAACACTGAATTTGTCATAAAACTTAGGACACACTAGGTCGGCTGTATGTAAGCTTGCATCCACATTTCAGCAGTTAGTGGTCCAAACCAGTAAACCAGAAAAGGCAGTGATTTGCCAGGATGCAAAGCCAATTAAGGTCCTTAATCTGCTGTATGCACCACTTCCCCAAAATCTTCACTCAAGAGATTTCTCTTCTAAGACTTAGAGAATTCTAATAAAACCTACTACACCGGTTTGATTTGTCTGTAGTCGTCACATCTTTAGAAGGGCCAAACATAAGTGCAACATTTTGTTAATTAACATTCTTGGGTCAATCCAAAGCACCAAGATACAACTATTTGAGCTGGAGTGTGTGTTCAGAATCTCTACGTGCAGAGTTTCCCCATTAAAGTTTGGCAGCAGAAGATTTCAGCAATCCTGGTAAATTACTGCTCTTTTCACCACGTCAAAAGCCTATCTAATAACATCAGACGTGGCCAGCTTGGCGGTGTGGCAGCAGTGCTGGAGGGACAGGGAAAATCCAAGTTTGCGAGCAGAATAGATACTCTTGTTTCCCAGGCTGGTGAAGACTAAATTTGTTGCAAAACCAAAACGATAAGCAGGAGGGAACAGGTCAAGTTATTGCCCCAACGCTTACCCCTGGGGGCCAGGGGTGAGAAGAGTCACAAAGAGGGGCAAAAAGAAAGCAGCACCCCCACTAAAAAGAGGGGAAGAGGGAAGAGATTAAAGGAACCCTGAATCCCTCACCCAAAGCCCACGTCACTGGTGAGGGGGACCAGGAAGAGAAATACAATCTATGCCTTGGCCAAAGGGAAGAAGGAAAGCTTGCCCCAGATTATCAGGGCATTTAAAAAAATAATAAAAAACCAAAACCAACCACAGTCACATTCAGCCTTTACTAGAGATAGCACAAAGGGAGGGATGACTGAGGTTAGCACACATCCCCATTAGTAGTCCATAAAGCCCAGCGTAGTACTGGAAGCAGAAACCTTTGTGTCTACTCTAATAAATAGCCCTGAGCTTCAACTCTATTGCAAAAGACAGAAAAAGAAAAAAAAAAACAAAACAACCCAGGCCAGACACACAGCAAGGTGATTGTGGGATGTATGCTTTCACAGTTAAGTTAGATGTGCCACACTGGTCTTGACAGTAATAAATTTAAATAGACTTTTCCTGATACCAGAAGTTCAGCTATGTGGACAGTGGTTACACGACAGGATTATTTGTTATAGTACAACTTATATTTAAAATGAAAAAAAAAATTAGTATCATTTACAGTATCTCAAGAAAAACTTCCTTTGAATGGGAACTTCCTTTCCAGTATTTTGAGGTCTACAAGATGCATCTAGAAAATTTACTACTGTGGAAAATGAAGACAGCTTAAATTGAATAAGGGGGGCATGGTGGTTTGTTTTTTTTTTTAATTAATTGCTGTAACATTGTCCTTCAGGTGGCTGAGGAAGTTTCATATTTTCTTTAGACATCATTAGACGCCGAAGCTCTTGCAGAACAACTTTGATACTATAAGAATTCTGCCATTTTGCTAGGACTGATATGGCTCTGGGGTCCACCTAAAACAGACAAAAAGACCATTCCTGTCAGAATCGATGCGTTTGATACACTTAACTCCCCACCCAAAACCCTCCAACTAAAGATCCTATAAGAAATCTCAGTAGGAAAAACCAAAGAAAGCAAAAGCAACCAAGTGGCTTCCTAAAAGCATAATAAATTCCTGCATGATGCAACTATTTGTGAGTTGCAAAAGGGCAGGAAAAGTCAATTCTATGTTCTGATTTCGCTTGGCTCATACAGTTCCCATCTACCCCCCTTTCCTCCTCCTCAAGCAAATGGCACCAGCAAGCAAAAGGTAGTTAAACAAGTTGCAGGTATAAACAAAGCATTAGTTCAAAGCTGCACATGAAAACCACATTAAAATGAATAAAACCCCAAAACTTACCACTCCATTAGAACTATTTACTCCATTCATATTAATTTTTGTTACAAATCTTACAAATGGAGGTGCTTCTGGATACTTAGGCCCACATTCTATTTTAAGGCTGTATATTCTGTTTTCATAAATTGTCTGAGGGGAAAAGAAAGGGGGGAACAATTACATCAGGCAGTTCAATAAGCATTTGGTTAAAACAGTGGTTATTTTAGGGACATGTAAACTACTAAACATAAGGGCAGCCACTTATACACCATGCTACCTCAGTTTGGGTTAATTTCATAATATTCAGAGTATCAAAATTTACCTCTTCAGGGTAATAAATTCTACTGGTCTTTTAAGCATCAAATTTTCATATAAGGAATGAAATTGGCATTGCTTCTCATTCACCAACTGAAACGATTTTTTTAATCATTATATAGCTCAGATATAAAGCTTTTCAACCCAGCTTTATAAAGCAGCTTTGTTTTACCAGTTTACTCATCACACACACCACCTTGAAAATGAAGCCACAGCTTTAGCTTAGGCAACTATCTAAAGTCAGCCTGTCCTAGAACTGCACTTGAAAAATATTCTTTGGTCATAAACCAATGTGTCAGTTCTCAGACAGGGGAATGCTCCAAGATTCAACACATTGCAAAGTACATCCTGATCCCAAACAGCATTATCACTTTGTCTCACCGCAGTAACACTCTGTGATACTTCACAGCTAATAAAAATCCTGGATCATGAGTTTTTAACTAACCAATCAATGGGTATAGAAGAGAAACAAATGTAGGGCTACATTGATTCTTTAATATTTAAAATTAAATAAAAGACATAACAACAGTTAAGGTTATTCTCCATTCTGAGAATAACTATTTTTGATGTGCTGATCTGGTGCAGCCTGGCACAGAGCTGCAGCTCCGCTGGGCAGAGCAGGCAGCTGGCAGAACCATACAACAGGAACAGTGGGGAAGTTTAGGCAGACAAGCTCTCCAGATTCAGAGCTCCTGACACCATTTCCTGTACCCTCAACACTGCAATGAAATTAAACTCACAAGGCAGTGACCACGAGCAAAAACCCAGGCAAATGTGCGAGCATAAAAGCCCAGAAGCTGCCAGCAGCTCCTCACCTGTGGCCAGAGCACGATGGCTCCCCCAGGATCTTAAGAATAGTTGCCCAGTGTACAAAAGCTTCTAAATATAAAACTCCGTGCAGTCCCTTTCAAGGACCTGTTATTCCCCTGAAAATCTCAATATCTGCACAAATGAAGTGGCTTTAAACCAGCCTGCAGCCACCCGCGGCAGGACCAGCGCCTGGCCAGCGCTGGTGGGCAGTGGCACCTCTCGGTCACTCCTCCAGTGCCTTGGCCAGACAGCTTTTCAGATGCCCAGCCAGGGTGGTGACAAACTGAACGCTGTCACAAAGTTCTGGGAAAAAAAGTCATCCGTCAGCTCTGTGCAGCCTGTGTAGGTCTCCTCACCGAGCCCCTGACCAAGCCTCCTGCTCAGCCCAGAGCTTCCTGCAGGTTTTTAGAGTCTTTGCAAATAACTGCAGCACATCAAGTCTAGTGAATGGAAAGCATTCACTGGGCGCATATCTATAGCCAATATAAAATATGTGCAAATAAAGCAGAAGTTTTGACAGTGACACTGTTTTTAAATAGCTTATATAAACAAGATGAATCACTGGCTGTGAAACTATCCGCACAAAGTCTGGGAAGGAGAAGCATGCTTCCATGTATGGTAGCAGGGACACTCGGAGCAGCAGCACGGATCTAACTCTGTACATGGTTCATGTTTCCCTCCGGGATGTCCAACATGAGATTCTTCCACCTGCTACAAGTGTGACTAATTCTACTCAGAAGGAAATAAGATTTAAAATTTTTTTCCAGAGTCAGTATTCCCACATCCTATTAAGAAAAAAAACCAGCAATAATATAACGAAGTATGAACAGTGTTAGAGCAAGACAGCCACACAGCAAATAAGAGTGACTGAAAGCTCCCAGAATCTCTCTCAATACAGCCTTGTGCTGGTTTTGGCTGGGATAGAGTTAATTTTCCTCGCAGTAGCTGGTATGGGGCTGTGTTGTGGATCTGTGCTGGAAACAGTGTTGATAATTCAGGGATGTTTTAGTTACTGCTGAGCAGCGCTTACACAGAGCCAAGGGCTTTTCTGCTTCTCACCTCACAGCGAGCAGGCTGGGGTGCACAAGAAGTTGGGAGGGGACACAGCCGGGACAGCTGACCCCAACTGACCACAGGGATATTCCATACCACAGGATGTTAAGCTCAGCATATAAAGCTGGGGGAGAAGAAGAAAGGGGGGGGACATTTAAAGTTATGGGATTTTGTCTTCCCAAATAACCCTTACGTGTGATGGAGCCCTGCTGTCCTGGAGATGGCTGAACACCTGCCTGCCATGGGAAGCAGTGGATGAATTCCTTGTTTTGCTTTGCTTGCACACCAGGCTTTTGCTTTACCTATTAAACTGTCTTTATCTCAACCCACGAGTTTTCTCACTCTTCTGATTCTCTCCCCCATCCCACTGGAGTAGCAAGCAAGTGGCTGTGTGGGACTGTGCACTGCCTGGGGTTACACCACGACAAGCCTGTTGCTTTCAAGGAATAAGCTCAAAAGAAGTCAAGACACTTAAAAAAAATATCTATATCCATAAACTGGTCAGAAAGACAAAAGAGGCACAGCTGAATCATCCTCTGTGACAGTCCTCTAGACTTGGTTAGCAGTACGGCATGAACTACAAATTTCTATCACCACTGACAAGTCAGCACATGCCTGTTTGCACATTTCAGTTTCTATTTAATTTTCTAAATTAGATTCCAAGGTTGCTTAAATTTTCCATAAAGTGTCTGCACACAGTGAGCTTTCTTCACAGTCTTAATGCAGGCTCATTAACACTCTCCCAGTGTTCCAAAACCAAATGCTGTTCTAGGAAATTATTTAGGCACATCATAAACAAATAAAGTGATCAGGAATGGGGAGATGTTAACAACTGCAGACAAAAAGTAAACAACACTTCAGGATGAGATGGAAAATACTGCATGTGTAATGCCATTACAGTATAAATTACCGTACAACCTCATCGTATGTCAGAGAAGGCAACTGATAGAATGGAAACACATAGGGCAGTAGCATGATTAAAGGTTTCCATATAATAGATTGAGAACACTGGAATTAATTGACAAGTGATACTGGGGCCAGATAGAAAAGACATCATCTACTGCTGCAGGAAGGAGAATCAGCTCCTTGCACTTCATGGTAAGCATACTAAGGAAACAGGACAAAGATACACAGTGAAACTAGAGACAACAGACAAGTTTTGTTCTGAGAACACATGCACACATACTATGCACAATTAAGTCCTCAAGTTCACTACCAGAGTGGAGACCCACAGTTTAGCAGGGTTTGGGGGGAGAAGAGAGAGAGACCACAATACTGCCACAAAGACCTGCAGCATTATAATGAGCTACTTCAGGAGAGAACATTCAGAGAAGAAATGGAATTCATCAAAATCTGAGTTTCCTGAGTTAGCTGAAACTCTACAAGAGCAAGTCAGTACTGCTGCCATAAAAACCAACCCATAAACTCAACAAGAACAGCAGAAAGACTAGCAGTACTGAATAAACATCCATGTTTTACCTACATCAGCTCCATATGTAACCTCACTAGACTGAGGATTTTAAACCTTGCTGTATTCAAGAGCACAGGGTACTAGAATCCTGGAATCTCAAAAGTTATGTCTTAATGAATCTGTAAATATAAAGCAGACATGCAACAGAACTAGCCAGAGAAAGGCACTAAAAATATTCCAAATTATAAGCAAAAAGACATATAGATATATGAAACCCATTATTATATGGAACCTGAACCTTCAACGTACATGACTTGCTAAAGTGTTTTTTCACTCATTTGTGTTTTGCTTTCTACTTCAGTGGTTAGATTAAGAGAAGAAAAGGGAGAAGGAAAAAATATTTTAATATTTAAGTGGATACTTACTCTTGGAGGTCCAATAATCATTCCTGTCCATCTTGTAAGCGTCATATCTTCATCATCTTCAAGGCCCCAGCTAACTGTTCCATCACCCACTCCTTTCTGACCTTCTTCAAGTTCTTCCAACAGACGAAAATTACGAGGAACTTTTACTCCTGAAAATAATAAGAAAAATATTTCGAGTTGAGAAATCTAGTAAAGAAATAAAGCTGCAGTAATTCCACTGATACTTCTGGTCATTCTACAGAAAACATTTTGGGTGAGGACATAAAAATATTAACCATTTTTAAATGACAATATTTCAATACTATGAAAAAGATATGCCTCTATTTAGTTTGGATTTTACAAGCAAAATTGAGGTATCCACAATTAAATATGCTAGAAGGCTGGCAGGCCAGGTATTAGGGCAGGCAGTAAAATGAAAGGAAATCTGTCCATTCAGAGATACACACGGTATTACAGAGCTCTAATTAGCACTTAGCTATATGATTTCTAAGAGAAAAATTCAGAAGGCTCTACAAAATGACACCACAAGAGGCTTGACATCACTCAACTCACTCAGAGCTTTTAAAAATACCATTTAAAGCAAACAAAACTCTTCCATAACATTAGTAGGTTAATCTGAAATTAATTTAAGTGGGCTTTGTCAGCAGCAATAGCATCCTTCGTACTCATGACCTCCACCACCAAGGAATTTCAGCATTTCTTAATTGCTGGCACATTCATCCTCAAAACACACAGCAAAACAGGGAAATTTTTTCATCCCCATTACATTAATGGAAAACAACGACACAGAGAGCTTAGGCGGCATAGCCAAAGTCATACACTAAGCCATGGCAAAGGAGGATCTTGAACCGAGCCCACGGGGGACTTAACTACTCCTTCTTCTTCAAGGTGTCTGTACTTCAGCCATCACAAAACATAAATGCACTCCAGGCCACCACTTCTGCCCTGTACTGGGTTTGTGTGGCAAGAAGCCACATGGGGGGGGGGGGGCTAC